CATCTCTCGTAATCTAGTATATACTGAGACCAGCTTGTTGCGAATCATTGTGTGAGAAATGCCGATGATAAAGAGACAGAAATGAATTGAAAATACTGTTCAACACTAAAGACATCCTACTCTTGCGAAAGGCACCAGACAAGACACGTAATGATAACAATCATGGATACTATAGTAGTGTCAACTATTTGTAAGAAACTAGCGAATATTCCTGTTACACCTTCTACAATATACTCTAGCATATTGAGACATCCGCCATTGAGAGAAACTTTCGACAGTGAATACAAATTTTGATTCGAGTGGCTTTGTCGACAATTATCAGCATGTTTTTAAATGATCATTACCAATACAGAAACAAATATGAATATCATCGAAAATGCAAGGCAGTCCTAATGGATATTATTGATGAAGAAAACGTTGTTCCATGTACGTATTTTTTATCGAACTAGTCAGATATATATATATACGGATACAGATGCAATGAATTGATTATTTCATATGATAGTTGTGGATCTATCGAATATCTATTGAATAATAACGATATAATAAGTACTTGTTTCCAAAAATTCAATAATTAAAATGTTAAATAAATGTGATGTGAAGGATGATGACAGAATCATAATTGACAAGAATATTTTGTTTTACGTTGCATGTCTTGTTTAGATATTTCATCATTGACTGCTTGAATTAAATGAGTAAACGTCTATTATGATAAATTAGAATCCTTCTGAAATGAAAGTGTAATCATGTAATAGTTTTTCCACAAGATTAAATTGATTTCTTAATTAAAAACAGAAAATAAAAAGTATATAATAAAAAACAAAATATGTTTGAAATATTTCATATAAAATTTACTGAATAGTGCTAATAAACTACAAGGTTTTGTGAAGTTTCACAAATTTCTGTTAGAATGTTTTCATCTGAGACTAATTTTTAAAAACAAAAACATGAAATATCAGTCTGCTTTAATAAATAATCTGACTATGTTCGATTGACATTTGTCAATAACTAAGTGTTTGACTTATTTTTCTAATTCGATATGTATTTAAGAATTTTCCATTGACGCATCATGAAAGACTAATGGTAATTCTTTTATTGTTATCTATTAGTCGTATATTGTAATATTATATATAGCGTTGCTCGTTAGAAACTTCTAATGAAAAAAAAAATGCTCGATAATTTTTATTCATAGATTTCTATATGTTTTGTGGAATAAATATTCACGGAAATATATATTGAATATAGCACTAATTATAAAAAAATAGACTTGTCTTTATAATAAACTTTAGATTCTCTATTGAAAACTACTTAGTGTAATATATTTTGTATTCTTTTGTATATGATAGTTATACGTCAAGAAAAACAATATCAGAATAGGATCTTATTATATTGCAAGAATCTATTACTTTTTCTTGTTGACACTATGATCCGAGACAAAGATGACCTTTGCATGATTGAATTAAGAAATGTTTAATTTATAATTTATCTCATTTCATATAAATCACGATTTTAAAAAAACAATATATTTATAAATAATATTTCTATTAATTCTGTGAACAACAAAAACAAAAAGTATTTGAGTTGTAGTATACAAATGAATTGATAATTATAGTTATTATATTACTATCGAGTTGACGTTTACTATTTTAAACTAATATTTCTGTCACTAACGCTTAATAAGAGTTGATATGATAAAAGTAACTTGTAGAGATAGCGTCATTATGTGAAATAATATTACGAGAAAATCTCTAAAAGTCTGAAATTTTAATTAAGTAAATATTGATAGATCAGATAAATCATGAAATTCATTTGACTATTGCTTCTATTCAGATTTTCGTTAGTTGTATGAGAACTTGTATTACTAATTAAACTTTATTATCAAAAATACAAAAAAAAAAAAGACAAGACGTTTTGGATGATGAAACGCACATAAAAATTAATATATTTCTATTTTATTGATTAAAATAGATATTTTAGTTAAGTAAGTACAATGAATTTGTTTTTCTTTTATCAAAATCATGGAATTAAATTGTGAGAAATATTCGTTTTAGTCAATAAAATTGAAATAGTCTTGAACTTTTTCTTTTATCCATTTCATCATTTTTTGTTTTCATTTTTTTGAGTTCCTAAAATATTTTCGTTTATCTACGAATAGAATCCTTGATACACATTTTACATACATTAGCATTACTAATCTATTTGATAATAAAAATATACCTAGATATATAAATATAATCAAGTCTTAGACAGTAACTTATAATCAGTTATAGATCTTCTCATATTTAATCAGGAAGTTTTAGCAATTAGATGAATTCAATGGATATAAATAATAGTAATTTACTAATCTTTTTCTAGGTCGAACAAATCAAGATATCCATAAAAAGAATTTCTCTAATGAAGCCTATATATATAATCCGATGTATACATTGAAGAATATGATTAATTATCTACTAATCATAGTAGTTCGAATTGATATTTTATCAAAAAAGAAGACGAAGTTTGCCTGGAAGCTTTTGTAATGATAGTATTTGGTGGTATAATACGATAATTTTCTTTTTTTGTCTGGCGTTTCCACCATTCGTTATTGTCTCTCATAATATCATATACTATACTATTTATTCTTCTTTTCTTGCTTTTCTTCGTCGTGTTTTATGCATTATTATTTGCGAGCTTGATATTTTCCTTTCGTTTATAATGTGTGTATATGTATAGATAGATCAAATAGCTTAGAGGCGCATACATAATATATATATATAGAGAGAGAGAGAAAGAAGACAAGCAAACAAGAAAGATTCTCAAAAATCTATCAACACCCATTTACTAACATCTAACAAGCAATTTTTGGTTAAAGTTATTGAAGTCATAAATAGCAAAGAAAAGAAAAAGACAAAAAGAAAAAGGTATATTTTATTCGATCTCAACATAAACTGGACAAAAGATATTTAATCCATTCATGGGAGATAACACATTTAAGACGATAACAACACATGACTACAGTGTCCACCAGTCAACAGCCGACAAGTATTACTGACTGGGTGAGTTCAAAAAAAAAGAAAAATATCAAATATATTTTACGTAGTTCGAATAAAAGTTTTGTGTTTTTGTTGATAAAGAAAACAAAAAAACGTCAAAAAGTGTATTTTTGTTCCATGTATCTCTTTTATGAGCTATTAGTGCTTTGTCTATTAGTTGTTTTAGTATTGTCATTGTAAAGAAAAAAAACAGTAAGAGAACTGCTGTTGTTTTTCTTCTTCATAATGTGACATAAATCATGAAATCGTGACAAGCAATCTTTTCTAATAGAAATACCAATTCTATTCATGTAAATATCTTAATAGAATAATTTTTTTTCTAATGAATTCTGTTTATTTATTTTATTTTTTCTTTTATAAAGTAATGAAATGAATAATAGTTTGGTATTTCATATATACATATACATATAATTAATAGATTGTTGTTGTTCGGCTTGGATGAAATTAGTTTTTTTTTTGTCTTACGCTTTTTTTTAAATGTCATCGAGAAAATGACACAAATGATAATAACAAAATACAGTTACTTGATTGTTTCGACGTCTGTTTTTCTCATTGTTTAGCGACAGTGTATTAGTTCTTTTTCTCAAGTCATTTTTTTTTTGTTCGTCTATAAAACCATTGTCAACATTTTCTCATATTTTATTCCTTCATAAGTTAGCACAAAATGATTTATCGTTAAATGACTACTAATGATAATAAATATGTATATACAATGGTTTGCAAAAAAAACTTGGAACAATCTCACATTATGAACTTTTGATGTTTTCTAGATCCTCTTGAGCCTTTGTTTTGCAGTAATTCTAGATTTATACTGGACAGATTATCCTCTAAAAATTTTCATATATTCGATCAAGTTCTATTGTATCATAGTATAATAATAATAATCTGATATAGCAAAGACACACCGTCTCAAATCACATCATACTTCTGTATTACATTATGAAAACATGAGAATTCGCTATGTCAGAAAAATCTACCGATATATAAAGATACTATTATCTAGAATTATAGTTACTGATTTAAAAAGATTAGAACTCGAAGCTTTCTAAAATATCGAACAGTCAATGGTTGGAAACGTGTTATTGATGCCCGATACAGCCGAAAATAAGGTCAATTTATTCGACAAAATAGTCAAGTGATATTTAAAGAGTTTGTTGAAAACTGACATAAACAATGTGAAATGATTGTTTACATGAGCAAAATCAAGCGCCATTTAAATTTTCTTAAATATTAATACTGAAAAATTAATAATTAATTTGATTAATAGCATAGAAAGCAAATATCTCTTGATTATAGAATCAAATCTTGAAATAGATATTCTAAAACTGTAAACTGATATCTTTTAAATGAAGAAATATATTTTTGAAAGCACTTGAACTATCCCCTAATACAAACTAAAGATTTGTTCCAAGTTTTTTTGCAAACCATTATATATATATATGCGTAAAACATTACCAATCAGCAATTAAAAAAGAGGGAAATTTGTCTATACTGACAAATTCTACATTCTAATTTCGAAATAATATAGAAGAAAACTAATTAATCATTCCACATTCTTAATGTATAAAGAATGTGAAATAATTATTCAGTATAAAACTTGCAATAGATCAAGTAGTAAATGAATGTGTATTTCCACAAAAAAAGTAAAATGTCATGTTGTATCTTCTTTTCAATTTTTGTTTTATTAAATTTTCTTCAAGCATTTTATTTTTCATTTTTCCTAGTAGAAGAGTAGAAGATAGACTATTATTATAATATATTGATGGATGGCACCTGTTGCCGGCAACATACATTGTTAATAGTGGTAATATGACAGTATATCGACACCATTTTCCTTTTTGCTTCTAATTCTGTTCTATGTTGATTTTTTTTTCTTTAATTTGAAATATGTGACACAAATATTTTAATAAGAAAAAGAAAAAAACTATATATTGACATTTGTCAAAAGATTGATTTATGAAAAAAAATATGACAAAAGAAACTAAGAATAAATCAATATCACACCTATTTCCTCTTCCATTATTTACAATTGGAACTGAACATCGACGACATTCCTGTGATAAAATAAATCAATTATCAGATAAAACTAATTTCCATTATTTATCTAGTCAAAAATCTACTTCAAATGAAATAACAATCAATGATTCTTCTCAAACATCAACATTAGCAAAATTTTGTTATAAAAGAATCTGTAAAAGATGTGTTCCCGAAAGTGTTCGTATTGATCCTGATACAAATCAACAGATTAATATTGATCTACTCTATGCATATGATCCATTTCAAACTGGGGTAGGAGATATAATGAATAGTTTTACATTAAAAATATCTTAATTGAGAAATTGTTTATCTATGCTAACAAGAAAACATTTTCAATTGATCCATATCGTTTTTAATCATATTTTGTCCATATGTTGATGATAGGATTCTCATGAAAATCCTAACAGAATTTCAATTGATGAGACTTTCTTCAACGATGAAAATCATTTTATTGATTTTTTTTTACCAAATACAACATACTTAGAGAAAAATTGAATAACAAAAGTTCAATTTGAAATATTGCTCATATGTAGTTATGTTGAACATTGGAACATTCTAAAGGTTTCAGTGAAAAGAAAATATCAATTCTTAAAAACTTGTTTCACAATTTATAAAATCTAGAAATGTTCACTTTTTTTTATTTGATTCAGTATCACAACGAGAAAACATTTTTTTCTATTGAAATATTTAGAATGTTCCAATGACCAACAGAACTCCACATGAGTAATATTTCAGACTATTTCTCTATATACCTTGTGCTAGCTGAAAAAAATCAGTAAAATGGTCATAACCTTCGAAGAGAGTCCCATAGGGTCAAACCACCTTAGAAGTTTTCTTCGAATAATGACCTCAAACTATGGAAAAAATATCATTGAAAACGATATGAATCAATTGGGAATCTTGCTTCATAAGTAGTTTTTTTTTTGTTTGCTAATGTAATATACTATTCAATCCCCTTGATATGTCTTAAAATCATGTAGTAAGACCTTCTCTAGAATAACAACGGTTCTTTTTTTTTCATTTGTTTGGTTGACGTCAATAAAGTGACGTAATTATTTATTTTTGTCTGCATATATATATTTATTAGTCGATGTTCTATCGATAGACAAAGATAAGTTTTATCGTTATAATTTGGGTTTTTTTTTTTTTTTTTTGAGTTTTGCTCATTGAATGCGATGACAAGTGTTTCTTTTTTTTCTTGTGTTATTGTCGTCAAGATCTTATCTTTGGGTGTGTCGATCCTGTCGACATTGATTTGTATTAAGTGATGAAAAAAAGAATAATGTATTGTCACATTGCTACAACATCATATCAGAGGTTTTCTTTTATAAGATTCGTTGTTAAGATAAGATGCAATCGCTTCTTATTAATTCGAATAGTTTTGTTTTCTATGATATTAAAACAGTAATTTATTAAAAATTGAATTTATTTGATAATTTTATTTTGGATTTTGTTTAGCTTGAAAATTTTACAGACGAACAAATTCAAGGTAAATATGAATAGATAATAATAATAAATAATTGTTGCTTTTATATATTTTTCTAGAATTCCAACAAGCTTTTCTTCTTTACGATAAAAATTCAGACGGCGCCATTAGTCCCAAAGTGCTCGGTAATGTGATGAGAACACTCGGGCAAAACCCTACTGAAGATGAACTTAAAGGATTAATTAATGAATTTGATTGTGATGGTTTGTTTATTTGTTCATATGTTTTATTAAACATAAATTTATTTTGTTTTCTAGGCAAAGGATTAATAGATTTTGATGAATTCCTCCAGATGATGGCTAAACGAGCTAATGAATATAGTGAAGAAGATGAATTAAGAGAAGCCTTTCGTGTATTTGATAAAAATGGACATGGTTTTATTAAAGTATCTGAATTAAGGTAATAGAAATATTTGAATTTATAAAAAAATATGTTCATTAATATTTTCTTCAGACATATAATGACTAGTCTAGGTGAACAATTTTCTGATGATGAAGTCGATGAAATATTGCGTGAAATTGATACTACTGGTAATGGAATCATTCGATATGATGGTAATATATTCAAATAAAGAAGATATAAATTATTTTTTTTTTTCTATAGATGTTGTTAAAATGGTTCTTGGTAAATAACGTAAACTTTATTTGGTGCGCACATCTGTGATACATATGTATGTTACTGAATCGGTTCTATGCTCATGTATTCTCATTCACATACCTCAAATTAAAAAAATCATGTTACAGTTTAACCGGTTTTTTGTGTACTACTCAATTTTATTTTGTTGCTTAACAAATACATGATTTTTTCAAATGAAAATTTTTTTCATTATATGTGCTTATAAAGAAAATCTTAAAAAATTCTAATTTCTAGGTTTTTTTTCTTCATTTGTTTAAGTATACAAATTTGAAATTATAACAAATTTATCTGAGATCATTTTTTTGATAAGATTTATCTTTATCACAAATCTAGATAAATTCATTTATATTATCAAAAATTATTTCAAACTAATGTAAACAAAATTAATAATTAAAAGAATTTAATAGATTGATTGATGAATGTTCATCATTTACAATCAATGAACTTAAAATAGATTTGACATGATACTTTTTTAAATGTTAAAAACTTAATAAATATAGTTTTGATTTAATTTCATAAGCTATATTTTCTAATGAATGTATCATCTCAAGAAACTCTTATACCATATAAGAAAATAAAAATTCTTTGAAAAATATTTTTAGATAATTGAAATTATTAACAAAAAATATGTTTATACAAAGTTCGTTATAACATTAATGTGTTATGTTTTGTAATTAATGAAATCAAAAAAAAAGATCGATATAGTAATTTATGAATTAAATTACCAGTACAATAAGAAGTACTACATTCCAACGATTAAATAAGATGATAGACATAAAAACAATTGTATTCATAGCCATAATAGCATTTAATTACTGGGACATGTTGCTGCATGCACTATGATATGCTAACCCTATAATTATATGACCTGTCACTAGTGAATGTATTCGGATGTACTAGCCACTTGTACTGATGTCACAGAAAAAGGTCAGAAAATGACAAGTTGCGATTAATGTTTTCGCAGTCTCAGACAAGAAAATAATGTTATGATGCATTGAATGATGACAGGTGATGACAGATTGAATAAATTAAAACTGCATAAGAAACAGAGACGAGTATCATCCCTAATGGATGTATAACTCGAATATTTAATAGGTAATGGTTTGGAAGTCCTTATTGTTGTAATAAATGTTGTCGGACCCAAAAGAACCTGTTTGTAACTGAAGTATAAAAGCAATACAGATTATATACGTATATATATATTCTAAAAACAATACTTGCTTGCTATTGACATTTTAGTTTTTCTTGAAGCTTTAGTTGTTGTAGTTACAATTGTTATTATTGTTGTTATGATTGGTGGAAAAAAAAATGTTTTTTTTTTTGCTTTATTATTAGTTAGAAAAGATTGAGTTGTTCAATATGATATTAAATGTCAAATGTTTTCAATCGATAGTATGCTAAAGAATGAATCTGAAAAAAAGAAAAGTGTTTTATTTATATCAAAATTTTCAACGATCATCTTATCAAGACAAGTTATTTAATGAAAATGTTTAATATTTTATATTTGAATAGAATATCATTTTAATAGAAAATCAAAATAAATATTTCATTTTCAACATGTCTGATATTGACATGTGATAGAGTATGTCAAATTAAATGATTAAAACAATTGTTTACATGATCAAATGAATGATTTATATCTATCTGATTAAGATATCCGAAACATTTCCCAATCTACTTCATTATGATAATAATTCTCAAGTGATCATATTTTGATGTTTACTGAAAATGTAGAGAAACAAAGCAAAACCTTTTCTCTTATACATAGCAAAATGACATGTTTATCAATAATCTTTATTGCAGTTACAAAGACTCATTTAGTAAACACTATATTATAATATGAGAATAAATGTACTTTTTTTTCGAATTCCAAATAATAAGACATTTCATCAATTGTGTTTTTCTATAGAAAACTTCGAATAAAAAACTACTTACTAGTCTCATGTTTGAAATGTTTCATATGTATACAATTATCTCTTATATAGTATAGACTTGTAATAAATAGAAGTTCATCTATTTGAGCTTTTAATTCTGATTTGTGCGTACCAATACATGTTCTCTTGGTAGTCTAATAGAGTTCTTCAACATGATTTTCTTACGACATTTTATCAAGAAAATTTGATATAATGCTATAATCTCAATATTCTTTTTAAGAATGTCAATAAATTACATTAATGTCTAGAAGTGGGTAGTTTCATCTATCATGAGTTTATTAGACATTGATAAAGTAAACTATGACAGTTTTTTATAGTTGCTACTCTATTATTTCGTAGTTACACAATCGTCATTAAAACGCATAACAAAAGTAGAAAACATTTTCATCATAGAATTAACAGAAGAATAGTTTTCTTCTTATCTATAAGCCATCAAAGGACATGCAAATATCATTGATGAGAAAAATGTATATTTTATGCATCGTTTATTACTTAGATGACAATATATTTCTTGTAGATCTTAAGGAAAAAAATGAGTTTGATCTGGAAAATTTAGCATTTACTTATTTTGATTCGGATCATTAATGCGAAAGAGTTTTTTGTTTGGATACTATAAGCAAATATCCTGAATAATATGTTCGGTACATCTTCGAGATTAATCATAAAAGTCTTAATATCAAAAGTATATATTATTATCGAGAATTTTTATCACTTTATCTTTTATTTTACTAAACAATAAATGTTTTAATGTTAAATTTGTATTCATGATTTTTTTTATGCGAAAGGAAAAATAAAACAAATATATAATTTTACTGCAAATACAATGTAAATTTTTAACTTTAGTTAAGATGTGTCATACATATTAACACAAAGTAAAGTGGATTCATTTAACATTTTTTGTAATTTCATTCAAAGTTTGCTTCAATTCATTACGAAATGTTTCCTAGTTAAATTCATCAATGGTGATTTACTTGTATAAATCAATAAAATTGTCTCTATTAATATTAACAAAAAAAAAACTATCCAAAAACTATGAATGATTTCAATTATATATGTTACAAAGCATTTAGGCTTCGTAAACGACTATGAACATGATATGATAAATTTAACAATTAATCTTTTAAAGTGATTATTAAAACAAAATGTGATAACATAATTCCAAGAAAAAAAACTTATATAAAAGAAAACTAATGATCGAATGGATAAATTAATTTGAATGAGACCATAAAGTACGTAGTGATTTATTCAACATGATGAGTCCAGAATGTGTTGACTCTCAGAATATCGAGTTTCTTCTTCCAAAGATAGACAATTATCCTTCTAGAGTTTAGAATCTTACACTTCCACAAGAGCAAATCTGGATAAAACACTGCAAATTCACCTAACACAATATAGTAAAGTTGATGTGAAAAATGTTTTTTATCATATAAGAGATGAGAAGCAATTCATATGAATTTTGTCTGATTAATTTTTGAAGAACTACAGGAGTCGAGCTCGTGTTAAATTAGCCATAGCTACAGATAATGTGCTTTAAAATATTTAAAGCTGCCTTCAAAACAAATAAAAGAATTTCGCTTCTTATCACCAATTTTGAATGAAGTTGCGAGGCATTTTTCCATTAAAACATGTTCGTAAAATTTTTCAGCTGTCGATCAATATTTCGAACCGAATTTTTTTTACATAGTTTTGTAATAGCAACGTTGCGTTTTTTAACCAGTAAATGATTAAATCTTAAGGGCAAGTCATTATTATACTATTCTAAAAACCAAATTAATGCAAAAATTTTACTCCACTTCTTAATTTTGTTTCATCCATATGAAAATAATAATCAGAAGTAATTATTATTCCTGAATTATCATATGAATATGTCAAATATTCATTGAATGATAATGTTTTTTTTTCTCATGAGAAAATGAATCATAATCGATTATAATCAACGTCATCATATTATGATAGAGAATTTATAATCAACATTTTTACATGAGTAGTATTGATTTCGTTTGTTTCTTTTTGTATAACGTACAATTTACTTTTATTGTGTCAAATGAAAAAAAAAAATAATCGTTGAATGGTACTCAATTCGATGGAAGCTACTATTGATTGAGCAGAATGCGTAGCTATCAAACGAGAGAACCAATAGTTGTCCCTAAATTAATATTTTTAATCACTATTTTGACCTCACAGAAATAATATGACGAACATAAAAACAAAAAATGTCATTTTGTTAAATATGTACCTTAGGAATTTTATTTGACGAAATAAACGACTTACAGCGATGACTGCTTTCTGTGATTGTTTACCATACATTTCTAAGAATATTAATCAGAGTTCAAGATTAATTTCGACTGTAGTCTGTATCAATATTAAGAACTTGTCACATATTGAACTGTTGAACTTGATGTGTCAATGGAAACCGTGATAGTCGAACGTGAAATTACAGTTGTCTGAAGGTTCATAATCGAAATCGATAATGTTCTTGTTGAAGATGCTGATTGTTGCTCTAAGTTGGCTGATGGGAAATGTTGTCCGTGTTCGACGACGATGGTTCGATGGTCGATATCGGAATCTTTCCCAACTTTCACTTTCTGTATTTCAAGGACGTTTCGATCGCCAAAATTTTTGTATTCTATATTGATACCAACTAGGTCGATATTGGTGTCCTTCACACATAGTGAATCCAATTACGACAATCAACAGGAGAACTGAGAGACTATATATCGTTTAAGTGATCGTTAAAATCGATGTGAATCCTATGTTGCACTTAAGAGGCAATGCGTTGTCTTATAGCAGACCGAGTCAATCAACTAGGGTTTCTCCAATCCAGCGAAGTCGTGATTGATTACAAATTCATTTCTTGGAAATGATATCGAAGCCTATTATTCGTCTCTTCGATGAGTATTCAAGTAAAAATGACGAATTATCGAACACTCAATCGGCATTCAACTAGAAAATCGATTCATTGATTCATAATTTGAGTTGACTTTCTTTCTTCTTTTAATTGATCTTAACTCACGGTGAAACTAATGTTGTAGTTTTTTGTAGCTAACAAGTTTTAAAAGGCTTTACTTTGATTGTCAATCGTTAATTTGTCGAGACAATTGGTATGTGATCTGAATCACACGATCTGCTGGTTCTTGATGAGAGAAATGATTACCAATAGAATTTGTGTGAATTGAGAATATAAAAAGAACTTCAAATGATATTCCGTTCATTTATGAATCTACTAGAATTTTGTCTAGCTACTATGATGTGTATGGATATGAGTTTGAGTCTTCTCTTCATCCATATCTATTCTTTGGATAAAAATCAAGGTGAAAATATAATTTAACAATCTGCGGCGATATTTATTAAAATCTTTCTAAATAGGATAGAGTGAAGTATCAATACATGTATTTGAAAACTAAAAACCGATCGATTCAGCTTCTTATGCATCATCATCATTTTCTGCTTTGACAGAACTTAGATTATAAATTGGTAGTTAATTTTTCTTAGTCATCGTCAATGTATTCAATATGTTTTAAGACTGTTTGCTTGTATGGCAGATTTATCATCTTTTACAAATACTAACTTGATACCGATTTTTCAAGATAATCACGATAATAAGGATTGAACAACAGTTTGTGATGAATACTTGTGAATCGTTATTTAACAAGCGTATTTATCTTGAAGTTGATGACACAAAATTTGCTGATATGTAGCCAAATGAGACAGTTTGGAGGTAAAATTAAAGAAAAATTTAAAGAATAAAGATTTTAAAATGAATCAGATTTCGAAAATAGAGTAGTGTAAAAGTGGGAAATACTCACTGCAGTAAAATGCGAGCAAATGACAAGAAAATTATTGAATCAATTGAAATAAATAATAGATCAAGATAGAAAGTAGATGACATAAATATTGACATACGTTTTTCCTCTTGTTAAGTTTAAATGATTTTAATTTGTATATCTAGTTCTATTCATTAGTTTTTATTTAATATTCTTCATAAAACGACAGAAAAATTGTTACAATTAATTTCAAAAAAAATTCCTTGAAATTTTTATGTAACTTGTATCTTTGTGACTATAAGATGTAGAAAATTCAAATTCTAGCGTAGATTTGAATAGATGAATTCATGATAATGTCTATTCAAGGATATTATTAAAGTGAATTTTCTTCGGCATTCTATGTAATATTTTATATTAGTGATCAAGCTTTATAAATGAAAAAAAAAAGTAGTCGATAATGTACTTTAAGGTTTCTCGTGATTTACGGATATAATAAACGCGTATTTGGCTTAAATGAAGTTGGCTTATTTTAAAAAATGCTTATGAACTGCATCAAGTCTTTTTTTGTAATAATTCTTATAGATTGATTTCAATTCAAAAGTATATGTCTATCATTATGAACTGTTGAAGAATGATTTGTTTTTTTCAATCAACTCTTAGAACGAGTTGTGCTGGTAAGATGAATTCGATTCCACACAGCATGCAACTAATCGATAAAATCTAATGACCAAGTCACCTCCTGTTGGAGTTTAACTACCCACCGTTTAAATTATTATTCATTTTCACTATGATTGAAAAGAGAAAAACAAAAATTATTTACGCCTACTTTCATAGTGTTCTGTACAAATCAAAATATTATTCTTGCCGTTATTAAATACGTGATAAGAAGAAAGAACACAATTAATACATAATGACATCAAATATTCAAACTTATCGTCAATATCCTCGTTATAAAGTTAGTGTGTTATCACCTTCGAATGAAAAGATATTACCTAATAATAATGCAACAACACCATCGGATATTAATTTGATGTCTTCGTCTTCGTCTTCGTCTTCGTGAGTATTCACTATTTTTATTAAGATCGATTTTGACTATAATATTAAAGAAAGCCAAATATATTACCATGGCCAACTATCTTCTGGATTGCTTTGGGTATTCTAATATTTCTTGCCTTAGTTATTGTTGTCGTAGTACCTATTGCCGTTTTAGCCAATAAAGGTATCAATCAATCATTAGAAACAAAACCATTAAATTTGTTAATGATTCAGATTTGTTTTTGTTTCGTTTCTAGGTGACGCGACGAATACCACAAGTATGTATCATTTATGTGTACTCACGGAAAAGTTTTTGAGTAAAACTGCGGTTTTTCTCACCGTGTTTAAAGTAAACCGTGGTGCCCTAGAGCTAGACTGCGGTGACCATGATAGTAACCGCAGTATTGTATATCGTGGTTAGTCGCGGTTTCAAAATCCGCTATGCGCCGTGGTTCAAAAACTGCCGCGTCTTGAGAAAGCCTCGGGAGTCAGCCCGTTTATTCAGTTTTTAGAAACCGTGTCGTACCACGGTTATATAGTTCTTTCACTGCATATTGGAGTACGAGAAAATGTGTAAGAACGAGAAGGATGTCGTATCCTCTATTTCTATGAAAGTTTCGAATATTCAGATAATCAATCTGACACTGCAGTCACTTTGTGGTAATGGAACTTGAAAAAGTTCATTGCATTACTCCTCGAAGGACTACTTGCCTAGATTTCAATAGAAGTTCAGGCAGGTTTTTTGATCTCCAGCCAGATCTGCTCGTCCTGATACGACTGAAGAAATCGTGGTGTATCACGATGCAAAAAAAACTGCATCTTCTGAAAATTGCAGACGTCAGGCTGTTTATTCGCTTTTTTGAAAACGCGTCTCACGATGTCTTTTAAAAACTGCGATTTGTACCGGTTTTGAAAAGACGAATAAATGATCTGACTCCCGTGACCTGGGAAAAATCGGTAAACACTGCGATTTGGTATACTGCGGTTTTTTCGTAATTTTCTTTCCGCGGGTAGACAAAAGCTCAAAATATTTAGTATTTAAACATTCTTCTCTAATTTAACAGCTATATCTACAATATGTCCAACAACATCAATTACTACTACAGTAACTGCAAGCTCACTTCCTGCTCAATGTTCTAATTATACAACAATTACAGATGACACACGAAGTCCAGACTATACAGTATCGAGTTCTTGTGATGATACAATATTTTCAACTACACCAATGTGGGTTCGTTTTACTGGATCAAGTGGAACTCTTTTAGCCAGTTGTCCTATTGATACAGGTCGATGTGGAGCCGATGCTCCTGGTTGGTATAGTGGAGTTCATCCATCTTTAGCTGGTTCTGTTACATCTGGTTTCGTCTGTTACAATTTTGATGGAGATTTATGTTATTGGACAAGTTGGATTTTAGTAACTAATTGTAATGGATTTTATGTTTATTATTTGTATGCACCACCCGCGTGTATTTTAAGATACTGCACTATATAAATATATTGTTTTATTTCTGTATAAACAGAAAGAAATCATATCAGAAAAAGCCATTAAAAAAAGAGACATGTTAAACAACAAGATAATCAGTTTATGAGAGAATAAATATTAAATCATATTCTGTTTTTGATGATCTCAGTGCGACAAATAGTCATCCGTCAGTTATTTATCTTCTCCCTCTTCCGCATGTATGTATTTAAATATATGAGTTCACCCAAGCTTTATCGGTCATTTTTTATTCATTTTCTTTACTCTCTTCTGTTTTGTACAGTTTCTCTTTCATAAACATATGAAAGAATAAATGATCAACATGAACATTCTGTCATACTTAGGTTTTGCTAAATTCGATTTTGTTCTATGGTATCTAATCTTTCTTTTGAATAGTCGAACTTCGATTTACTCATCACATCTGTTGGACTTTGCATATGAACACCTTGTATTGTGATTGTTGAATATATTCAACAAACACTATAACGTTCAATTTCTCATAGAATAATCTATAATGATTATTGTAGATCATGTTTCCTTACATAATCATCGTATGATAGATATATTTAGTTTTCTGATTATCGACTTAATATTAGTCAATTCAACCAATTTTTTGTTAAATGAACATGTCTACCGAAAGTATTACTTGAAACACATGAAGTTTATGTTTATGCTAAATCTAATTTACAAGATTCTATCAACATTCAAAATAATACGGAACCAAATTTTATAGAATAATTTATTCAGGTTTAGTTGTACCTTAATACGTTAATAAATAATCATTGTTTTTTAATTTTTTTTAAGAAATAATCTAATATTTACTATAAATCATCAATGCGAAATAATCATTGTATTAGATATTCCTTTTTAAAAACAGTTGTTTTATTATCTCTTCCTATTTTTTTTCTTCTTAAATTTATTTAAAATAAACATTACTTATGTTATCATTATTAAATGTAAAGTTTTACTAGAAAATACTATCAATTCTACAACTGATTCTCATTCTATTTATTATAATTGTTGATCGACTTCTGAATGTTGATTATTGGACACTCATGTAGAATTATCGAACATTATGCATGTCTTGTTCATTTTCCATTGGAAATAATAAATTATTTAAAACATGTATAATGCTAAACATCTTTAGATTTTTATTTATTTCATATATTATCATCCCATAGTGCTTTTATACTATATCTATCAGCTGAAAAGTAACATAGAGTTATCTAGTTTTCGTTTGTTTCTCGACGAATAACTTTTCTAGATTTCATATATTAATTTCTCAAAATTTATTTCAATGACCAATAGTAACATCTGCTCTATTTACCAATTGCTAATGGAAACATCAAGTAATTACTTGAAATAAATTAATAAAATAAATAATAGTTTTCTTTAGTTTAAATATACTCCTCCTCTACTTGAGTTTCGTGCTGATCTATATCTAGCTAGAAATAAAATCTTACCATAACACGATAATATTTTATGTTGCAGATACCAAATCAGTTTTATCGATAATCCTCAGTAACATAATGCGAATAACTGTTCACAATGATCAGTGGATTACACAGAAAAACAGAAAAATTCTGCGTTTAATATGAAGAATATTAATTTCTTGTTTTTCATAGATTAGAAATACTTGACAGCATAGTTCAGTATATAAATTATATTTGTTCTCATTCAGGCATCAAAATAAACAGAAAAACTAAAACGAAAATAGTTGTTATTGAAAAACTATATTTTTAGAGACCATTACTAATATATCTCTTGGACGATGTCGAAGACAATAGAAACTTGATACTCAAGATAATATTTGTCTTTAACATGGCCACATTATCTGACACACGTCCATCTGTAAAAAAAAAAAGACATGAAAACCCGAAAAATTTCTGAACAAATTACTATTTCTTTTAAGTTCGGTGTTACATAGGAACAACCAGTTCTTATCACATGAGATAATATTGTAATGATAAAGTGATATGTTTCGCTTTTTTTTTCAGAGGCATTGATGTAATATAACCATAGTGTTGAGAATAACTTTCTGATTGATGTTCACTTAGTTTGTGTTGAATATAATTACCTTTGTGTTTTTTCTTTCGTTTAAGATAAATAATAAATCATCAATAAATGGTAAATTTGTTTATCATTTAGTATAGGAGAAAGAACATTCTCTAGTTCTTTAGAGTTAGAAGATAAACGATAATTTTTTGTTTCATGACAAAATCGAACAATTAAATAATAAAATTGATACAATATAAAATAAAAACTGCATGATTCCATTCAATGAAGAGCATTTGAGTAATTGTCACTGGTTTATTTATTGTATTTTTGGTTAAAAGTAGGAATACTTATTGCCATCTGTAAACACATCAGTTAAAATGAAAAATAAATAAATTCTTCTTTTGCATCGTGAAAGATATGACCTTTTCAAATTACTCAAAATGTGATGAAAATACACATGGCGATTGCTGTCTTAAAGATCAAATGTAAACAAGCAGTAATAAACAAAAATAAAACTAATGTAGTAAAGATGATGATTTAACATTTTCGAGGGATGTAGATCATATCCATAATACTTCAAGAAATATTTTCAGTAATTCAACTTCAACATTCACAACCATACATTAATTAAATCCAATTGTAAAACAACAGCATTTTCAGTTAGACAATAAAATTTGTCTTCACTTTTTAAACTTTTCCTTTGAAAAGCAAAAATTGTTTAAAAAATAATGACAAAAGTTTTTTAGAGAAGAAGAATTCCTATCAAATTAATTATTGAATTAGTTCTGCAAAAGTTATCTAAATATAGCTAAAAAAAATATATTATTTTCTCTCATTTAATCCGTAACATCCATTAAGAATCTAATTTATTGTTCCGATTGCTTTTCTTTTATAATAAATGATACGGAATAATTGGTAAACACTACAATAAATAGGAATCGATTTATTATGGGATAATTTTGAAAGTTCTTTTTAATTGTTATATATAAGAAATTTTAACCAAGCAACTCATAATGGACTTGATTGTGTATTGATACGAAGAGAAAACGAACATTTTTTAATGGTGGATGAAATGTCAAATTAATCCATTCATATTTATTTGTAAATCCAACCAATTCTTTCACTTCTTTTAGTCTATTTTCTTGAGAACCAACCAACAGCGAATGATACGTATGACCGTTTGGTGTTTGAGCAACTTGAAGAAAAACATGAGAAACAGTTTGTTCTCGTTCAAGCTCCACTTGAATGTATTGAGGAGCATAACCATCAGAATTCCAATAGTTTTGATTTGATTTGTTAGAATCTAATATATATTTTACTTGTTCAACAACTTCACTAGTTGGAGCACATTATGTTTTCAGAACATTGCAGAAATTTGAAGCAGGAATTTTTGCATTCTGTGACAATAATGATGCTTAAAAAATAATAGATAAGTACACGAGAAATCGAGAAAAAAATTTTTTTTTCATTGAATAATGTCTGTCTAAATGACAATGTTTATTATAAATAGATGAAAGTTGAAAACACAAACAAGACATATTCCACTTGACAAACTATTTTATTACGATTTGTATCTATAAACAAGTTCATTTCTCAACTATCTTTTCAGTTGATATTTAAGAGCATTGTTACTTAGTCAAGTACTTAAAATCAAAGTTTTAAATACTTAAACACATATACGAGAAATATTAATATTTTTCCCATTTAATTAAATCGAGAATAATTGTTCATCACTTGAACTAATCTAGTTCAAATTTAACCTTTTTCTAATTTAATGATAAGATTAAAAATTGATTCAGAACAAAACTTTTTAAGAACATTTACAAATGAATATTCGTATATTTCTTATCTTTGTTCAAATGAATGTTTCATTTTTCTTTTGACATTCTAAGTATGACTGTATGTACGCATAAAATGATATTTTAAATATGATAACTTACTGTTTGTTGAAGAATCATTGGTCTTGTTCGTTGTTGAATCTGAATAAAATAAAACCATGAGTTGCCTAATTCGAATTCGAATATAAATGGACACTCAGCTACATAGTATCAATTCGAAAATAAGTGATAGAAATAGATTTAGTTTTAGATTTAGATTTACTTTAAGAGGGACTGCATGTGCGGCCTCAGCTGAGGGTGCGGGGTACCTGGTGAGGGTGCCGAGTTAGGGTACCCGGTCACGGTATCTGGTCATGGTACCTGGTCACGGCATCTGGNCTGGTCTTCTATTATGTCCTAGGTTTTTTACCAATTATTAACTGAAAGTAGTTTTCCAGAAATCCGAGGCGATTTTCAGGATTCTTATAGGGATTTTCACGGTTTTGAGAGTCGATGGATGCATTTGGACTCATTTTCTAAATATTACCGGCTGAAGAACCTAAAAACTGTGCATTCCTGGACGAAAATTCCCTAAGTAAAGTTCTTAATTAGCAAATAATTAATTAATTAAAGACAGGTCTTCTAATAAGTCCGATAAACTTTTGTCCAGGGAGTCTTCTAATACGGGGAGGGGTTTATATAAGGATACAGTTTGTACGATGTGATAGAAAGATTATGTTTTCAAGACTTTAAAGGACAGTTACTAGAGATTCCCACGCTGTAAATTAACTGATCCTGTTTCTACTTCTTTTGTAAAGAGAAGAATTCAAATAAATGATTTTGACATCAGGATCTATGATTTTCCGGCAGGTTCTTGCCGGAAAAAAGCTGTTTCCTATCGAGAACTCAAGAGAATAGTATGAATATGGAAGGAAAAATCCGGTGATTGGATTCAGTGTCCAGGTTTTTCTAATTACGGTGGTAACCAACCGTAAAAGGGTAAAGTCGACCACTGAACTTCATCACCGAATTCGTACTTCCAATTTCCTACCATTTTCCGACCGGAAACGACCCATATTTCTTGATTTAAGAGCCGGAATTAAATAATTGAATCATTTGAACTATTTTTGTTTAGCATGTGTCTGCAAGCCCGACCAAAAAAAGATGAACTGTTGACAGCTCTAGTAGTGATGAGGA